CGGGGCCCCCAGACCGGACCCCCAAACCGGGACCCCCAAACCGGGGCACCCAAACCGGGGCCCCCAACCGTGCCCCACAAACGGACCCCAACGCGGCCCCCAACCGGGGCCCCCCAACCGGGTCCCCAACCGGGCCCCCAACTGGGACCCTAACCGGGGGCCCCAACCGGGGCCTCCAACCGGGGCCCCCAAACGGGCCCCCAACCGGGGCCCCCAACTGGGGCTTCCAACCGGGCCCCAACCGGCCCCCTAACCGGGATCCCAACCGGGGCCCCCAACCGGGACTAACTGACCCCCATATGCCCTATAAATTTATCATAATTGTCAGTTTTAATTGTTAATTGTTAATCAAAAACATTGAAAAGATTGAAAATTGATTAATTGTTAATTGTAGATATTTGCGATTAACGATTGATCAATTGTTAGTTGCGAGAACCGCAATTAACAATTGATTAATGCTGTTTCGCAATTAACAATTAATCAATTGTCAATCTTTAATTGCCAGAACAATTAAATTTTGCCCAACACTGGATGGAATGACTATAATAGCATAAACAGCAGGGAAAAACTTGTCTTTTACTGAAGGAAGCCACCAAACTATTAGTTGGAGGACATTGTGAAAGAAGATGATACCATCGTAATAACTTAATGAGGTGAAGTGAGACCTAAAATAGATATTTTGGCCATACGGTCAAATCGGTTCTAAAAAATGCTTATTGATCTTATTTTTTAATTGATAATGAAACCAGAAGATACCGGTAGAGAACTATGGGGCCTAAAAACGATTGTCTAAACTTCACTCGGTAAAAAACCCATATTTAAAATTTTCATATATTAAGAAAAATATTATTTTTATGAAAGAAGGAAGAAAGGGCTCTTTTACAAGGAGCTCTACTGCTCCTACTAAATAGCCGGGAAGAGCGATCATAGATAATGGAACCATAAAAAAAAGTTGATTGTATGTTAGAGATTACCTGCGTGGGCAAGCGATAACGCCCACAATCGAAGATATGAAGCAGTATGCGAGATGGTACTGAGCACGTATTCAATAGTGTGAATGGCCTGGTGAATCATAATTTCACTGAAAGGCTCTTCTTCGTGATCGCCACCGCCTGACTTCTCCGCTTTGGCGGGCGCCGGCGTGGCACTTTCGCTGATGTCTGTTTGCTCCTGCATTTCTATGCCTTGGTTCACGCTGCCATTTGATGCTTGTTCCGGCTGGATAATACAACATTCAGTAAATAAATTAGCCAAACAAACCAGTGAATTTCAACTAGGAGATTATTGCTCTATCATATTTTAGATCGGCTAAATCTCGGAGTCGTTATTGTAACGCAGACCTAGCGTCATCAAGTTCGAGCCAATGTTGAAAGTAAGCTTCAAACTTCGAACAGTTTGCCCGCTCATCTACTGTGGTCCCCCACGAAACTCTTTCCGAGCTTGTTGAAACAGTAACAGGTCTTCTTAGCGGTCTTTCTGGGGCTGCTTTTAGAGAACTTGTAGAACACTTCGTTCCAGCAATGCAGCAAACGACGTGTTGAAACAGTAAGACTGGTCGTGATGGTGGATAGCGCAGTAGATAGAAATCCACATAAGTGTAGCTGCGTCACTTCTGCTCACCGCGACGGTCATTTTATTCTGCGCAGCAAGTCCACGGGCCGCATATCTTTATACTTACGAGATATATACATCTATCTCGCTCTTGCAAATAATGTAAACCGTCGGATTGGTTAATTCTATATTTAACATTTTAGGATACTATTCAGAGCTTTTAGATTAATATAAATATGGCGACATTTGCTAATAAATTTCTTTTTCCTAAATTGGTTGTTTCTACTCAAAACACGCAATTCAATTTAGAAGCCTAAACAACAGTGTGTAAGAAAGGAATATCTAAAACGTTCATACCTTAGAATTCTTCTTATTGTTCTTTGTACATAAAATATACAGTGGCTTGCCGAGCAACATGACTGGTATACAACAGAGGGCTATGAGCACAAAAACGAGTTGCAATGTACCCTGAGCCTCGAACATGAACTCGTTGCAGTCTTTATTGGGCTCCGTGCTCGAGAATAGCATCATGTTGATGAACAGAATCAGGACTGACGGTGCACAATCTTGCGAGTATGCCACTGGTGCTGCAAAGAATATTCGTTACGTGCTTTACCAAGCGTGAATTGACAACCAAAATAAACGTTTTGACGTTTTGACCACACGGAAAATCGGTTTTCCGACGTTAAAAAATACGAATTCAACTTTCCTGTGTTCGATCTTTGTTACTAATAATTTAGCAAACTAGTGAAGTAGTTTCAAGAGACCAGCATGGAAACTGTTCGGCCACAGAGTCAGTTACATTACTCGAAATGACATGAATGAAATTACCCGAAATGCTTGAATGAGCGGTGTTGTTTGCAAAACGACGGCAAGTAAATATCTTAAGTAGAAGAGGCAGTCATATCTTTCTGCATTAGTTTTGATTGTAGTGACCTTCCCTGCCGACCCTTAGGGTATACAAGAAGGGCACTACAACCTGTGAATGCACAGGAACCTTCTAAGTTCAGGTTCTGATCCCAGATCCGCCAGTGCATAGGGTTATTATTAGCTCGCAGAGTTGACAACCACGATGAGGTACTCGAGTGGTAACCATGAACTGCTAGACACAATATATCGCCATAGGCCGGGAACGTCTCCCGCAACGCTCCGCATGGCCTTCCTAGCTACATCGCTACCTACTAAGCTTCCTGCATTTACTGAACGTCACTGTGACCTTCACCTAGCATTCAGTCAGATCGTTAGGCAGGTTTATTTATTTAAGACACAACAACAATACACTTAAACAGTAGGTAAGTGGATTTAGATTATGTTAAATAATAATGGGACTTACTGTCATGAGTGCAACTGTAGGCGATCCATTTGTAAAACATCATGAAGACCATATACAAGAACAGCAGACAAAGGAATACAATTTGTGGCAAAAACTCCAGGATGATTGAGTAGCGTCTCTTAAAGAAACTGAAACATACAAACACACACTTTAATAACACATATAAGTAATATAATGCACGTCCTATATTCGGAAGATGTAAAGGCATCGTCAGGAAACAGCGTTTTCCCTTCAACGCCACTCTTTTTATGCGGGTTGTATTCATACTAATTAACTTTAGTACTTATTTAAAACTGTAGATGGCGACACTTGGATAAAATGAAAAAAATATGAAGTATGGAGTCTAGAAAATTTGATACCATACGAAATAAGAAGTTTAAAATATAAAAAAGAAATGCAAAACTATTTTAAAAAAGCTTTTTAGTAACTTAGTAATATTGAATTAAAATTCATTTACAATTATGAAAATTAGTGAAAACAGTAAACTGTCGTTGAAACAATAAGATAACAAATCGAAGGATTCTCAGTGGTACTTTTTGATTTGTTAGTTTGCAATGAATTGTATAGGTGGCGTTTCCTCGAAACTAAGGGTCGTATTCTAGAACTCTACTCAATGCTCAAGTCAGGATTTCAGTATTATTCAAAGCACTAGAAATCAGACTCAAGTCCTTGCCATTAGGGTCGTATTTCCAGTGCCTGAAATCATACTCAAGTCTTCTCATATCCTGACTTGAGCATTGAGTAGAGTTCTGGAATACGACTCTAGAGAAACGTTATTACACTGAGTTTTACTTTAAAATATCAACAGTACAGACTCGATTTCTTTGCAATTTTATTATACGTTATTGTACATTTTATAATAAATGCCTGAACAAGAGCAATAACCTTGACAAAAATGTAATAGCTGCCATCTATTGGTCTTTTCGAATATTATTACAGTCGCAACGCGGGTTTACTGGTGTCATCTGTTGGTCAACGTTAAGAATCAAAATAAGCGTCCGAATAAGCGGTTACGAGTGCGACGTTTCTTTGTATGAGATTGGGTATCTGTAATAGTACAGTATTATATTATCAACGTAAATAATCGCCATAACAAAATTACTCTTCAAAGCGTAATTCTGAAACGTCAAAGAAATGAAATATCACTTACTTGTAGTTGACAACACTCATACAGACACCGAAAATCATGTGAGTAACACCGAAGATGATAGACAGTTTCATCTTGTACGAATTGAGGAAGATGATCTTGTTGTCAGCAGTCTGAAAGAGATATTGGAAAGTCAGATTTTAAGACTTTCGGGGTAATTCAGTAAATGGTTATCACTGATTACATTACACATTTCTGACCACGATATTATTATGATCCTGTGCTTAGTGCTTACTACAATAATAATAATAATAATAATAAAAACAAAAATGGTTCGACTTCAGTTTATCGTAAAGATGGTAACGCAACAAATAATCGAGACGAAGGTAGTAGCTGACAGCGAAGACGCTGAGTCTATGCATTAAAAAAAAAGTCAATTATATTCATTTTATATGAATTTTAAGAAATTTTACCAACTTCTGCTGTCCCGATTGTTTTCGTCCCTTACAATGTAATGATTCTCATATAAAACTGAGTCGATCAGGACTAAAAAAACTTTTGATCAATTTTTCAAATTTTTACGGACAACTCACGCTTTACCAAGAAATAGTTTTCATAAAAAATACTAAGGGTTCCTAAGACAGTTTCTTTGTATCTTTTACGGACTTCCCCATACTGTTCCAATTAAAAGAAACACTCTACATATTAAAAAGTTAATTGTTTTATATGTATAAACGGTAATTAGGATTTACAACACTTACCTGCCAAACGGGATCAATGCCAATAAAGTAAGGTTCCCCCAAATAAGCATCCTTCGGGTCCAGCGTAAGAGCTCCATATGTTTCCAATGTCTGCTGGTCATATGGTACTGTCCACGAAGATCCGAAGATATTCATAGATTTCGAAAACAAGTCATTGTAAACCAATCCTGTATACATGGAGAAGCAGCCCATGAGAAGAATAATGTAGCGACCGGCGAAGAAAATGTTCCAGATTTCGTTGGTAGACTTCTTAGCTGAGAGGGATACTTCTTTCATGACCATCCAGGCTCCGAAAAAGGCCATGATGCAACCGTGGCCGAAGTCACCGAACATCACCGCGAACAAGAAAGGGAATGTGATCGTGGTGTACAAAGCTGTGGAGAAGTAATTCGGAAACTATTGTAAGTTACGAACCACATTAAAAATTAAAAATATGTACTGTATTGTGTTTAAATCTCTTGCATGACTTAGAGCGCGTTACGACTATGTCGTGACGACAAATACAATTTAAAGTGTCGTACCTTATATATTTAAATGAAATTGTTCACATATAGAACAACACGATTAACTGTCGTTCATGGCTTTTTGACGTTACGGCCACAATCTGTCGTGACATTGGGAAGGGCCAGAACGACAGTCGTTTGACGATAAATAAAAATGTGACGACAGATAATCGCAGTTTCAAACGATTCTGCACGACAAGGCGGCTGCCGTGAACTGATAAATTGTCGTCACGATCTTGTGGGTACAGCTAGACACGACAGTTGTTCAACGATAAAATAAACGTCTACGACAGAGTTACGACAGATAGTCGTGATATGGGAACAGGCTAGACGCGACAGCGTCTAACGATAAATAAAATGTTACGACATAATGAGAACGCGCCCTTGGGTGGTTTACTGAACCTACTGTTAGCTTGTTAAGTAAGACATATTTAAGTTTTTTGATGTACCATGTTTACTAATTGTACGTTGGTAACTTGACTTGGTTTATTTTCGCGTTTGGTTCTAACGTAGTAAGTCATTTTAACAGAAACATGAAATACTATTTACCAGGGTTGCATTCGCGGTAGGAAGCCACACCGTACGCGTCAATGAGGTTCTGGAAGCCGCGAGTGAAGCGATTGGTGCGGTTGAACGTTGGTGGTTCCTCCTCGGTCTCGATGCAGTTCAGGAATGATGGGATGGCACTGCCGCAAGCGTTCTGACAATAATGTGCAATTTTTAAGGCATAAGCAAAAAGGTAAGTGATTTCCGATTGCAAGTGTCATTAAGGTTTGAATATTATGGATAATCCCAGGATTCGCACGAAGCGATTCGCTTCCACATGTATATGGTATGGAATTCTCTTCCTGCGGACTTATTCCCCGAATGCTATAACTTGGACCTTTTCAAGACGAGAGTGAATAGGCATTATTTATGTGTTCATGCTACATCGGCGGCCTCATCATTACTTTCCGCGGAGGTTAAATGCGCACTTATTTTTAATATAAAAAAAGGTTTAATACAGCTATATCATGATTAGATTTGTTAATAAACTATAAACAATAATAAACCTATCAAGAAAAGAGATCGATCAACGTAAAGTTTTACGTTATATCAACGCACCTTAAGGGTCGTATTCCAGAACTCTACTCAATGCTCAAGTCCTGCCTTGAGCAGACTTGAGTATGATTTCAAGCACTGGAAATATAACCCTAATGGCAAGGACTTGACTATGATTTTCAGTGCTTACTGCAATACTCAAGTCCTGACTTGAGTATTAAGTAAAGTTCTGGAATACGACCCTTAGACAGCCTCAACCGATATTTATTTCCTAAAAAGAGTTTAGTACGTTTGTTTTTTAAAAATAAGAAAATAAATTTTTTAACGCCTGCACTACTTGTACTTTCAACTCACATTGCTAGTAAGATCCAAGACCTTGATGGTACATTTAATTGGGAAAAGATGATATTTTTTTCAGTGTGTTATCATATATCTCTCAGATCGTCGGATAATGCCGTAAGGAACACATTTAGGGAGACATCCTCATCACAGAAGCCCACTAGCGGTAACCTGTGTGGCACAGCACCGACAGGACCGAACTTTCTGGTGCGTCCGGCTATACCGATGACGCTGCTGTAGTAACGAGAACAGACACTCTCCGCCCCTCCCTAGCTTTAAATACCGCACCACACCCCGCACAGTGACGGTCACATTGGCTGAACGACAACAAGGCTGTCGGCGAGTCGTTTTCGCGCTAAGACGGCTTTGATATTTGAATATAGCTTTAATTTATTCATTACCAAATTTGTACGTTAATATTTATCATTATTTTACGTTACTATTTATAATTGTCGTGAATTGTATACGGCTGCTTATAATCATCTAAAAGAGAGGAGTTTCTTTCGTTTTCTGAAAGATGAAACGAAGTAAGTAAAAAACTTATGTCTGAGACTCATTTAGGGTTTTCTTTAGTGCCGAGTAATACATATACAGATTTATTATATCAATATAATAAGGCGCCATAACTTCATAAGCTAGTAGACAAGGTTTCTCGAATTTTCAATTTGTATTGCTGCAATCTGATTATTAACTAGGTAATGATAAACTTGGACACGCAATTTTAAATAATTTGGTTACCTTATTTACTTACCTTACCTACTTATTTACTTACCTGTCCAAAATATAACGTTTTAAGTGCTTTTAAAATATTTTTGAAATAAATTATTAGAATTCTATTAATAGAATTATAGATAACAGATTTTAGAATTTTCGCTATGTTGCCGCTCTGACCTCTGCCGCTCTGACTGCTTAATAGTACGAGAAAGTGATGGATAACCCCATAGAATCTATGGGGTTCTCTATATAGTAGAAATAGTAGTATTTTATTGCAATACCAAAAAAATAGAAAGCTTTTTATGTAGATAGATTCAGTGACGATGTAATTATTTTTCGCGTTTTTTTTTAATTACATAAAATCAGCATCCGCAAATGTTAGATCGAAAAACCATCATCATCAACCTGCATCAGCAACAACCCGGCATCAGATTAAAAGCTACATCCTAGGGGTCGAGCGGGTGGAATCCCGCCACAACGTGAATTTTAATTCGTTTGTGATGGTTCCGATCGAACATCTGTCGATCTTCATGAAGGAGTTTTGGCCGGAGGTTGATATATCTGTCACCAGATTGTGCCATATGACGCCGACAAGTGTACGTGTAGATTAGTTACTTAGTTTTTTTATATTATATGTATGTTAGCCCCATCGAGTATATAACCAGAAATAAAGACGAAATAAGGGCCATCTATCCCTGGCAACTCATCAGGCAAATGGACCATAACACTTGTAAATATCAACTCTCGTTGGCGCTGAAATCACAAATTAGAAAGCTGAAATAGTACAGTGCCAATAACTGACCTGTGTGTGCCTTCGTATATTCCAAAAGTATCTGTATTTATTATAATAAACATAATATCTCTAACTATGAGGGGCTGCTCCTTTCGGTGGTGTGGGAAAAAAAGCAAAACATCTAATTGCAAAACATACATAATCACATTTCATCGGTAATTAAATATTAAGTATGTAATTTTTCTATTTTCGTCCATTGTAGCAATGCTCAAGTTAAACTGGTCGATTTGAAGTGAAACAGTTGACGACATCCGTCAATTGTTTCGAACTCAGGTTAGCCAATCGGAACGCAGTTGTCACAGAGTAATGATATGGCAGAATAGTTTTCAAACAAAACAAATGACATTTTGTCTCTATTTCTGGTTATATACTCAAAGGTTAGTCCTAAAGTATACATTATAATGGTCATGTTGTCTGATTTAAATAAATAAATGGAATAAATTAATAACGCATACAGTCACAGATTCTTTCTGGAAGGAAAATATTCATTCCTCTTTATCAATTCGTTCAGTAGGCGATGAAATAATGACGTCAATGGTTTATCCGGTTTATTCTTTTGCAGCGCACATTACGTACAGAATAAATTGAATATTATTATTTATTACATTAAGTGATAACTGTCTCAGACATATTTATATTTTTCGATTTAGAGCAGATTCTGACTTTAGTTTTTTAAACCAAGTGACGGGATGAACAAGTCGTGTGCCTGGTGGTAGGCGACACGCCTGTCCGTGATAGTTGCAATTTTTTTATACAAAATGTTTTAAAAAAAAAATTATAAAAAAAATTACGATTAGGTCGACGATAGAGCATGCAAACCTAAACGGGTAATGCCTATTCACTCTCGCCTTGAAAAGTACAAGTTAAAACGTTCACGAAACAAGTCTGCAGGCAGGTAATTCCACTCCATAACCATATAAATGTGGAAGCGTAACGCTCGTGCGAATCTTTGGAATATCCACAACATGGGGGTGGAACCCAAGCCTACGCCTAGTCCCCCTGTGATGGAAAGGGACAGGTGAAATTAAATCGTGTAATTCCATCGCACACTCTCCGTTATATATCCTGTAAAAATACCGATAAGCAGGCAACTTTACGGCGGTGTTCAAGGCTCTGCAGCTCCGCCTCTACTAATTCCGAGTCACCTATAAGGCTCTTGCCACGCTTGGAGTGCCACACAGAGCATTAAATCACAAAGATCTGAGACATAAGTTGACAAGTCCCATGTGCCTGTAAATATACCAGGTAAGGGTAAGGCCCTTACCCTTCAAGAGTGGAACGCAGTAATGCTCACATTACTGCTTGGCGGCAGAAATAAATAACGTGGCAGTAATTTTCTGAACGAACTCTTTGACAAGTAGCTTTGCTGATATTAAAAATAATATATTTAAAATTAAAGTAAATAATTGTTCAAATTAAAAAGACTTACAGGTCGGTTTGTTTGAAAAAACAAATATACGCGATTTAAATCCGGAAAAATAGTTTCATTTCCTATAGACTTACAGATCCATCAGCCAAAGCTTTCTGCACATTAGGCAGGTCAGCGGTCGGCACCCAGCATTCGCCGATAAGGCACTTCTTAGTAACATCCATATTGAACAGATTGAGCGTGTGATAGATCGCCTTCATCTTGCGCACCATGATGAGCCAACTGGGTAGCTCTTTGGCCACGCTTAGAAGCACACGTTGCCTGTGGTCGCGTGTCTGGTTCAAAACCTGTAATTTTTGTTGCAAGGAATGCTTTTACCATGCTTACTGAACTAACCTGTTGTGACTTTATCAGTAATAAAATAATCTTTAATAAATAAAATGATATTTATTTTAGTAATTTAAAAAAACAATTAACTTCACATTAACAGTGGTTGGTACCTCTAAATTGACTTGGTCATATTTTTTTGTGTTGTATACTATAGTGGTATTTAGTTTTTGTGATAGCTAGTCAAATTCAGAATTAACAGGAGAAATTAACAAACATTACGAAACAATATAAAAAAAGCATATACAAATAAATATTCATCCTTAATTTCAAAAGATATAATATTAACAACAATGGAAACAAATGATAAGTGTAAAATATTGGCTTTATTGAATATCAAGATGTTTTATCACCGCGTTATTTACACATTATAGTGAAATAACAGCACTAGTTTGTCAATTATATAAATACAAAGATCGAACACAAAGAAAATGAATTTTTCATTCGACCTGACAGGATTCGAACCTGTGACCACGTCAAACCCGGGCGATGCTCTGCTAAAAGAGCTACAGATCGAGTAAATGCTTGTATAAGGATATGTATTATATTCCATGAAAACAGGACGTGACCTTAAGCATTTTTAAACAGTTTAGCGTAACACGTTATGCGTTGTAAGATTAAGTAAATTAGGTCATTGTTAAAATTAAACAAACTTACGAAATATATTTTATTTCGCTAAGATAGCGTTCAAATTTAGAGTTTAAAAATATGCCAGTGGGTAGAGTTTGTTTTGTGACTTATTGTGTGTATAGACGAGTAAAAATATAACATACCATGTCAAGATCTGCAAGGCGAGTGCGGACGCCTTTAACCATGTCCTGTCGCTCAGTGTTGGATGGCGGGCAGGGGTACAGAGACGCATGGAAGCCAGTGCACACCTTCTTGATGCGAGACTTTAGTTGTTCTCCTTGGAAGAAAGCTACGAAAACCGTTTTGTAGATCTCGTTGCCCTGTTGAAGAAACATAGTTACTTAACTATGGATTTCAGGCAAGGAAGATACACTGTATACAGAGACAATATCCTGACATGAGTAGAGTTTCATTTTTATTCATCTAGTAGATCTAGGTTTCCAAACTTTTTAGGTCTCCGCCCACATAGGCAAGATAAAAAAATTTCAACTCCCAAAAATGTATACGTATGAAGTAGTTTATATAGACACTTCAGGTTCTTTTTGCAAATGCGGTAGCACCCCCTGGACAGCATCATCGCCCCCAATTGCTTCTACTAGGACTCCTTAGCGCCCATTTGGGGGCGGTTGTCACTATACACAACACTTTAGGAAACTATTATCTAGATTGATTTCTAAATGGAACAAGCAAACCTGCACCAACCGATTCCACGTTATAGGATTAGGGTCGAAGGTTGTAGTTTCGGCACATTGACTAGATGGGACAGACCCTTCATCATTGTTTCATTTGACGACGATTTTACATTATATACACTCATCAGAAGAGTCTAGGAATCAAGCAAGTTTTGGCCATTTATTGGTGGTCGAAAAAGAGTGAATGTATGCATTTCATTCCACGCGACTGTACCAAACATAATTTACGTCAAAATGGCCAGCAAAAGCACACGCCTACAGTGTGTTAATACTGTTCTAATATGACCACCAATACAAACAACTCTCATTGGTGATATCAGTATGACAAGCTAGTATTGACCACCAATAAACGGCCCAAGTTTTTGCCTACTGACTAATTACTGAAAAACAGGTTTTTTAATAATAATTTTTTAACACCATCGGTTTCTTTAGTCGATTTCACAATTGAATAAATAATTTAATAAATTTATATGCACATTATAATGATTAATACAAAGTTCGAACACTCAGAACAATTCCTTCGATCCGGCCGGATTCGAACCGACGTCTTCTAGCATACCGTGGCAGACGCTATACTAACTAAGCCACAGAATGAACCAGCGAACCTCACGAATTTTTCTATGTGCTTGTTGTCATGTCTTTGTATTTGGTTTTTCAACGACATTTTAGCCGTAGCCATCTATGAGAAATATAAGTATTTCGTTATCCAGTTAGCTAGAAGACGTCGGTTCGAATGGCCGGATCGAAGTATTTTTTTCTGAGTGTTCGAACGTGGTTCAAACTTTGTATTAATCATTATAACAAACTAGTAGAGTAATTTCACATAAGAAATAATTGAATATCGATTCAATTAAAATTTATATAGACATTTTTATATAATTTTAATAGGGTAATCAATATACCTTGATCTCCAGACACTTTTATATGATTGGAAGATTTCGTTTCAAGTTATTATTATTAATAATAATAATAACGCACACACTCGTAATTCCACACTAGGGAAACCCTGTATCGCGGGTGCCATAGCCACACACATAGATAACCACAAATTACACCCAAACTCACAAGAGAAATAGATGTAGGCCACACAAATACTTCTCCCGGTCCGGGAATCGAATCCGACACCTTTGCGTGGCAGTTCAGCATGGTAACCGTTCGGCCACAGAGGCAGTTACGTAATACTTAATAGTACATTATTACGTACTTAATGGCTTTATAAAAGACTCACAGTTTTAGGATCCTCCAATGGCTTATCAAGCTCAGCGCGACGCAGGAAGACATTGCCGCGAGAGATGCGCCAGAGCATGCGCTCGAAGGCGGGCACGCGCTCGCGCTGCACCACGCCCGCTACAAAACCGAGGCGGCCGTGCGCGGCGGCTTGCTGCGGCTGCCCAGATTCGTCTGGTATTAGGGACCTGCGAAAACGTAAAGGCCACTCGTGAGCTTGACAATACCGTCAAACTGGATTCTAACGACCTCCGTGGTCGAGTGACTGGCACACCGATTTTCATGATGTTTCAAGGTTGAGATGGTGATCTCTGATCCTTTTAAAAGAGCAATCCCTAGAGTTTCTTGCTCGTTCTTCTCAAAGAGGTCAGCGTAGTGAACGAGCAGTAGCTTAAAAAATTACGTTTTCAAGTGTAAAAATTTTAACTATGGAATAAGTGATTATTGACTTTGACTCCGGTTCGATCCACAACCGGGTCAATGTAGAAAAGTAACTTTTCTATATTGTCATGGGTCTAGGTGCTTGTAGTGCCATCGTTGTTTCCGATTTCTATAACACAAGTTACCTTAGTTACTTTGGGTGTTTTTTTATGATACTATGTGACAGGACGAACAAGTCGTGCGCCTGGTGGTAAGCGTGTGGAAAGCGACACGCCTGTCCATAACAGTTGCAGTGCCACTCAGAGCTTTAAATCTCAAAGATCTGAGAGGCATTGCCACTGCGCCCGTCACCGTGAGACATAGGTAAATTGAAAAGATGTGCCAGTAATTACAACAGATGAGATCAGATCACTGTTGCATGTCCCACAACATTCGACCAATTATGCCTACAATGCGATCCTCACTCGGTTACAGCGGCTGTACAATAACGTGTTTGAAGACATCGATCTAATGTAAGTACTCTTTGCATCGATCCGTTCACCGTTTCTAAGCACATATTTAAAACACAGGTACACAAAACTTTGATTGGCACATCTATGCTTATCTGCTATATCATGATTCTAAAATACAATTGCACTTTTTATGCTACATTTATACACTATATTTGCTTATACATTTATAAATATACATATAAAGACACAACATTTTATATATTACCAACTTACGTACACGTCTCACGGCACATTGCATCTTAAAACTATTCACAATATTTTAACTAATGTAGAAATGTTTCTATCCATCCTCGGCAGTTTCTTACAAGAAGAATGGTAATAGAATACACTAGCGACATTATTTCATCGTTCTGCATGATTTTGATTCAAATAGGAATTGAACCGATCGGGTAGGTCATCCGAGTCTCGAAATCGGATAGTTTTCCGAGCGAGAAGATGATCCTGATTCCTACTATATCTTTCTAATTTGTGAGTTAAGTCAACTATTGTTCCGATTTGAAATGTCAAATGTTTCTGATCGCCCAGTTGTGAATCGTAATTATGCGCCTCGACTCGGAAGAAACGCAGTTTCCGATCGAGAGAGGCAATGAAAATGAAGCTCCGGAAGCAAGCAGATACGGAAGACAATAGCTACATTAAAAAGTTCACTTTTTTAGTAGTTTCTTTTTAGCGAAACGACAAGTTGTTTATCCTTAAACAACAAAAGATTATGTGATTGCGGCACCTTAAGCTAGTATAATCTTGTTCACTTATCATTAATGTTAAATGTATGCCTACGTACCGATAGCGTTTGATTACCCCTTTTGTACCAAATTACCTGCGTAACGATTAAAAAGTACAAGATTACAAACACTCACTTTGTCAAAGAATCCATGCCGATCTCTTCCTGTGCGGCAAAGAAAGCCTCCGTCTTCTCGAGTACGTGTTTCAGCTCGGTTAGCTCAAGATAGTTTTGCTTGAGGTTCACTGCATTATGCGATAGTTCCAGGATCTCATTCTCTGTCTTTTCCAAGTGAGCCTATGGATAGAAAACAATGAAGAAATACTATAAGTATAAAATTCAAGGAAATTCTCGCAAATTAAATATGCCGCGATTTTGTGGCATTCTAGATTAACTAATTAAGTGCACAAGACATCACGAATTGATAGAAGAAACGGAGCGATGAAAAATCAAAACATTTCTTGACAGTTTTATATAAACCTACATACATACCATCACGTCAGCCTCTTAGAACTTTTAATCGAATCTCCAAGTTTCCATTCCTATTCGCTCTATAAACATATCATATCAACGCGACGGATAAAACGTGCGCCTGGTTCTAAACGACACGCCTGCCCGTAGCAGTTGGAGTGGCACTCACGAGCTTGAGCTAAGGAGCATTGTCCTGCGCTCGTCACCCTGAGACAGAGTTGACAAGTCCCACTTGCCTGTTTATCCTTCAAAACCAGAAGGCGTATAATGCTGACATTACTACTTGATGGCAGAATTACCTAGGTATGGTAGCAGTACTTTCCTCGTTCTCACATTCTGTTCCAAACAATATACCCAGGACTATCATTCTTCTGGTAACCTATCACAAAGTCGATTTTTTTTCCGAAATAACGTTTGTTCGAATTTTCATTACACCGAATTATAACGGAATCGTTGTTCTTTCAGGATATGTTGGATGTTTATCGCAAAGACACGATTAGGTTTGGTTAGGTTAGGTTTAAAAGTAAAAACATTTTTTTTTCAAAATTAGTTTCGAGCTTATGAAACTTCGAGCAAACGTCATTTCTGGAAAATGTCATTTCGGACTACTGCTAGGTAGCCCATTCTTCTATTTCCTTACCTCAAGATCAATAATTTCCCTGGGATTGGGGGCACGAGGCGGTTCCCTCACAGAAGGGATGTGGACGCCGTCCTTGTGCACTTCCACCTCGATGTAGCGCAGCTTGCGCTCCATCTCGTCACATCTTCGCACCTCATTCACAAACTTGCGTTGGAATGCGTTTACCTCTTCGTTCAACTGTTGGAAAAAGGAAATGTATAAATAATTTCTCTATCTATATTAAAAAATAGTTATTTGGTATTTATCGCGACATCTGGTATGCCAATAGATACTAAATACTCGACTACGCTGTGTTGTAAAGCATATCCATGGCTTACATTAATATTAGACAAATTGTTTGATAACCAATACCACCTCAGTCAGCCGTGAGCAAGTGTCCTGTAAAGAGCACATACAAGCGATTTAGAAGCGGAAAAAATTGTTTAATTTCCAAGTCTAGCACGCGCGAAAGTCTTTCTTTATAATATCAAGTGATGAGACGAGCAAGTTGTGCGCCTGATGGTAATCTACACGTCTATCCATAACAGGGGCACTGCCACTGCGCCACCCTGAGACATAAGTTGACAAGTACCATGTGCCTATAATTTCACCACTACCCTCTTACTGTTCAAAACCGAAACACTGTAATACTGACATTATTGCTTGGCGGCAGAAATAGGTAAGGAGGCAGTTCTACCCTGGATGAACTCTTTCACAAGGAATCTACTGCTACTAAAGAACCTGAAAGAAACTGCCTAAGAACCTCTAAGGACATCTTAGTTAACTGCACTAGTGTAGCGACGGGGTATCGAATCATAGGTATCGATAGTACACTCGTGAGTAGCATCGGATAAAAACTATGTACACTCATAAAAGTATTGAAGCAAGAGTATCTATCTCAGGGTATCGATTATACTTATATCGATTAGTCCAACAGATTTTCCCCACTTAAAGACTGAATAAAACGCTTATTTTATAACTTAATTAATCAACGTTTTTTGTTAAATTACTTGTTTCAATTAACCATTGTAATTTAAAGTTGTTGCACAAGCTGCGGTAGCATGACATCAGGTATGACTGTCTATTGTCATTTATCATTGAACAATAATCAATTACCTTACATTTCACACTGAAATCTTAACAGTAAGTAGGAAGAATCGAAACGACAGAACAATTATTCGAAATTAGAAAAGTATTGGTACCGGAAGGAAAGTAGTCAATACCATGAAGTATCGATACTTTTTCCGTGTCTATAAACGCGTGTCGCTTCAGTCAGTACGGGAGATCACTTATTAATTATTTTATAAGGAGTAGAAGCAAAGTCAAATGGTCTTAGAATGGGCATTCATGGCGCGCTATTGATATGATGCATAATATGCCCATTATGCAAATGTACCCAGTGTTCAAGCATCATTGTGTTTTATTTACAAAGATGATATCATAGACATATTTCTGGAATATTGTGATAAGATATTTGTAAATACAAGTTATTATATGAATTCATATCATATTTTAAAATTTATAATAAAAAATGCATTTACTATTGTACGGTGAAAACACACATATCGCACCCTTGGTGTAATAATGTCACATCTGCAAAATGACAACTTTTCAGGAGAGACATTTAACGAAATTGGTCGATAACTTTTTATGCTTAAATAGAAGAGTTACAAAATTTCACATGGATGGAAATGGACATGAGATCGCGAGGAGTTATGGGTACTGACCTTCTACCAAAGTAGATAATAAAAAAGTAACGAGAATGGTCACTCTCTGGCCCTTCCTAGCTTTAAATACCTCACCGCGCCCCGCATATTGATGGTCACATTGACGGAACGGCAACAAGACTGTCAGTTACCTACTGCGTTTTTTTACATGGCACCATTAGAATTACTTTAAAATCCAACTTCGACTTCCTATGTCAGTAGTTTGTCCTACGACGCAGTAAAACCATTTCCGGAAATCCGGAATTCGAAAAAGTATTTTATTAAAATTTGGTGGTTTTAAAAAGTTTATGTTGCTCCTTCTAGCTATGTCTATACATGTATATTTGCCTGTAGAACACATTTTTCCGACCATTGCCAATAACACAGGAAATTCCCTGGTTATAATAATAATAAAGACTTTTATTTCAGAACTTATGAATTCCATATATTGTTAGTAAAAAAGAACTTAAAACACACTATGTTAGTACTTACAGGTAAATAATACAGATTACATTAGATACATTACATCACATTACATTTACATTCTCTATTTAATTTGTCCTATGACCCTCCTAATCAAATGAATTAGGATAGGACTGTCAAATCTATGGACAAGCGTATTCAGGATGCTATTGCTATTTTTAGTTATAGACCAGGTTATTGGTGTGATATTCTGCCACGTTAAGTATTACATTTCTAATATTATACCCCAACTGCCAATAGTACTAAACGTCCAAGTGAGCGAGGACAACCCTATCCCTTGTCAACCTTATCAAATGAGTCATCCTGTCAATAAGCATAGCGCGCACACGAGAGTGGCTCTTTGCTGTTGGTAATAATTAACCAAGTTTAAAAAAGGAAGAGGTTTTCAATTCGGCTGTATTTTTTTGATATATTTTACGCATTCACGGCATTTGTGAACCGATTTTGACGATTCTTTTTTTGCTGGATGGTACCTCAGTATTGGTGCCATTTAAATTTGAAGAAAATATTTCGCCTCTAAGGGTGGCAAATTAGGGGATCAATCCGGTTTTAAGCTTTTCCGTTAACCGATTCCAATAAAACTTGGTAAATAGATCGACTCATCCGTAAAACAAAGACCTATGTGCAAGATTGCTTATTCTCGGGACATTGTACATTTTGTGCGCTGTTTTTAACTGTGGATATCAGATCGACGGTTGTTCGGTTTTATATTTCCGAAACGAAATAATTCATAAAATTCTGAAAACACCTAGAGCTAGGTCTTATTTTGAATAACGACATTATGTATTTATCCCCTTTTCGTTGTATTATCACATCGGACTCTGTTCTTCGGAATGTAATTCCGAGATGTAATTCCAATAAAAAAGCCGATACGCGAACTTTTGCGGTCGGTATTTTTAATTAAAAAAAATAAATATTAAATACAAGGTCGATGACTCTAGTAAATTTGTAATCCCAAACCTCGCTAACTGCTATACTGCTCTCCTTGTCATACGCATTTGCATTCTGGTAACTTTTGAAGTATTGGCACTAAACTTTTTTCTTTTTAAAAATGTCAATACGCTGAATTTGTATAACAATAAAACTAAAACTAAATAAGATATAAAAAACCGCTTAAAGGGGGTTGTAGACCTCCTTTCGCTGATTCCACTGGGGCTAGCACGACAAGGCACAACTTGCACAAGAGTGACATAGAGCGCGATATACCTACTGCTATTCTCGCATAGAGATCTCGCGACTCGCGCTTTATGTCGCTCTCGCGCAAGTCGTGATTTGTCGTGCTAGCCTTACAGATATGTTAATAACTTCGATATAAAGATAAGGTAAAAGAAAAAATATAAAATGTCGATTACGTTACGTTACGTCCGTACGATATATAAATGTGAAAAGTAATTCTTTAAATTTATGTTTTTCAAATTTTATTTTAGATTATAATTTTGCATGTTTTGTAAATTATTATAAACAATTTTTATTAAAAAAAAATGGTTGCCAAAATGGACGGGCCTAGCAAAGTCTTTCCATCATCGGGGAACTAGACGTGGACTGGGGATCCACCCCTATGTTGTGCATATTCCCAGGATTCACACTAAGCGTTTCGCTGACCATGTACGTTGTTTACTTTCAAAAAATGATATAAGTAATGGCTTTTATATGTACGGAGATCGAGTACTAGCAGCACATTTTTCTTAACACCAAGTGACAGGACGAACAAGTCGTAAAACTGGTGGTAAGCGACACACCTATCCATAACAGTTGCATGCCACTCACAGCTTTAAATGGCAAAGATCTTATGGGCACCGCCACTGCGCCCGTCACCCTGAGGCATAAGTTAACAAGTCCCATGTGCCTGTAATTTCGTCAGCACCCCATATTAAACAGGAAAGACGTAATGCTCACATTACTGCTTGGCTTAGAAATAGGAAAGGTAGCAGTACTTCCCTGGACGAACACTTTCACAATGAGCTCTACTGCTACTAAAATTTTAAATTTTCGGTCAAATAAAACGAAAGTTACTTTATGCAGACAGCCTTTAAACTTTAAGATATTACTTAAGGTATATAATGGTGTACACTCCGCACATCATCCTGGTGCACAAAGCGACCGTGTGAAGACTGAAAATCGGTAATGCCGAGTCTTTAACCTTTTTATCCACATTACTTAACAGTATTTTCCATTAGTTTTTAATTATTGTGATTTCCTTGTTTTGTGGAGAGGTTAATAAATCACCTAGGTAAAGTATACAATTTAAAATAATCATAGCATTATTAAAACATTCCAGTTTTCCGCAAAAGCCAGTCACCATACTAAAAAAATATTGAGTGAATCGGAGAAAGTTTCTAAACAGAATTCGTATATGCCATTACTAGTAGATTTAACACAGTTTTGGAGTTATATCAGTATTTGATTTCTTATGTGAAAAAGATTTGGGACAGCCCAATGTACGACACTGTTGTCAATTATTGGTCAATTTACCTTATTATATATTTACCTATAAATTATTTTAAACACACAAACATTCCTTTCGTTCCATTTACCATTCGAAGTCTATTTTATTTACCAGTCAGTCTCGTCAGGGTCAGGCATCGAATTAGCGACGTAAATGTACACGGGGTCACATTAGACTAAATCGGTCTTCGAGATAAGTGACATGCATTTACATTGACAATAGAAGGTGAACTACATGAGTGACAGTACTCTACGCTAATACATTCTGTTTGTTTTTCTTATATCGTCTGTTTAAAGGTAAAACCACATAAGTGACATTTTCCACGAAAAGTCTTTAATTTATATAGCTATGGAAAGAAAATCAGTATCTTTCTGCACGTGAAACTAAATAACAAAAAAGCTACAAACGTAATAAGAGTTTTATCTGTAGAGAGATCGCGAATTTCTTATAACTGGTACATAATTTGGAGATTTTTTTGTGGAAAATGTCACTTATGTGGTTTTACCTTTAAACAGACGATATTATGAATACTTTAAATATTTAAAACTACTTTTTTTAATTTA